AGGAGGAGGAGGAAGAGGAAGAAAAAAAAAGAAAAAGGGATCCTGAGTGCCTCCAGGGCCTCAGCAGTCGCAGATGTCAGCCAGGTGGTGGGGAGGACCTGGGCGGCTAAGGGCCCAGCTGTGGTTCATGTTGTTAGCTGTCCCATTCTCTTTACATGGGACGGCTCCTAGCCTGGCTTGTTGAGCTGGGAGGAGGGAAGGGGAAGGCGGAGCGCCCCGTCCAGGCTTCTCCCCCGCTGCAGCCCGCAGGGCCACCGGCCCTCGCGCTGGGGTGCACAGGTGCTGTCAACCAGGCGGGCCAGGGAGCGCCTGGGCGGCGGCCTGGAGGAAGTGCGGGCCGCCTGCCCTTGCGCGTTAAGGAAGTTGCCCAAAATGAGGAAGCGCAGCGAGCCGGGTGGCTGAGGCGACACTGGCTACCGAAGAGCAAGGAGGAGCGGGAGGCCGGCGCGGCGTGCCAGCTGTCCCCGAGGACGCGCCCGCTCCAGCCCCGCGCCACCGACGCGCCCGCGGCCGCCCTGGCCGCCTCACCTGGCGCAGGTAGGTGTGCCGCGCTGGCTCCTTGGCCGCCGCCCGGGGCGCTCCCGAGGCGCCTGTGGTCAGGAAGGCGGCGAGGGGGGGCACAGCGGGGGTGTTTGTCATTTGCCGTCTTCCTGCGCGCCTGGGCACACGGGCGCAGGTGGCCGCCCGGCTCTTGGCCTTTTAAATGAGGACACGAATGTCCTAACCGTTAAATAAGAAGAGGTAGGTCCTGCCAGCTTCTCCCCCCAAACGGAGCTGGGGGTCCAGCCCTGCGCGGGAGGAGCGGGGACCGGGCCGGGCCGGGGCGCAGGGGGCGCGCGGGGGTCCCGCTGTGCGGAAGGTGACCTCGGGACCGCCGCCCGCGCTGGCCTCCAGCCTGGGCGCACGGTGCGGAAGCCGGCGAGGTCCTGGGAAGCGCGAGGCCGGGGACAGGCACAGCCCCAGAAGCTCCATCTCTGAAATAGAGCATTTTCCCTTGGGCCGCTTAGGCGGATCCATTAGAAAAGGATTAAAATGTTAAAAATATTTATCAAAGTCGATTAATCAATGCGGAGTTGCGCGGATGGTTTCTGAGGCTTTGCAGACGCGTGTCTTTGCTATAGAAAGAGCAGTTGCGTTGGGAAAAGAAACTTTCAGAACCCCTGCTAACATGGATCAGGGTGGCTCGGTCCAGGTGGGCCCCAGTTCACTGTCAGCGAACTCAGCCCATGAACGACTCAGAGTCAGAAAAGTTTTAAGTGGGAAAATGTAAATTTGAGTTAAATATTTGAGGAAGGGGGCAATATGGCTTCCAAGTCACTCACCCAAGGACTGTACAAATGTAGTCGCTGCTGCTGTTTGAATGTTCGAGAAACTAGGAAGACAGTTATTAGAAAAATTAGAGTTTGCAAGTTTTTTTTTTTTTTTTTTTTAAAGTGAGAAGCTATTGAAGATTATTTTCTGAGTTCTCTCTGACTGATGAAAGATTGGGTTGAACTCAAGTAAAACGATCGACTGGAAGAATTTTTTTTTTTTTCTTTTTCTCTTCTTTTTCAACCTTCAAAGAATTCCAGGATGTAATAAAAAGATTTGGAAATGTGCCATGTCAGAGTACTCATTTGGGGAAAAAAAAAAAAAAAAAAACATTAATCATGTAATGTCTGAGAATTCCTGGAGTAAATGGGATTGGTTCTGTCATCTGGTTTCTTTGTTTTAAATTAAGAACAAATTCATGGGCTGGGGTTTGGCTCAGTGGTGGAGCGATTGCCTAGCTTGTATGAGGCACTGGGTATGATCCTCAGCAGTGCATATAAATAAATAAAGCATTTAAAAAAAAAAAAAGAACAAATTCATTGCCTTTACACAGGCAACTGTTTAATTAAACACTAAATACATGGATGGTGTCTCTCTTTCCTGCAAAGGAAGTCAAAACAGGGGATGGGTATATTTATATTTGAACTAAAAGAAAAAGGTTTAAAGTGACAGACCTTACCAATTCAAGTTATGTGTCGTTATTTTGTTCTATCTAAACCATACGTTTGTCTTAGTGTATTTAGAGAAATTTTGCAGTAAAACAAATTGTGTTATCCTCTGTATTTGAAATGCTTATAGACATTGGGTTTTATAAAAAGTCTTCATAATTAGAATATTTTTTAATGTTTTAAGTTAGGATAAAAATGGGGAATATACTTTAGATCTTTACCTTTCCCGAGGGAGAAAATTGGTAGGCCGATTATTTTATTACTAGGTCTGCGTTTCAGAGATGATTCTCATTGGTCTTCCTTGGGCTGGTGTTTAATATTCTGAACGCAGGTCCAATCACTCTGTTTTTTAAACCAAAGACATCTTGTAGAACTTCACTCATGCACCATGTTATTTGTTCATAGTCCTCCAAACCCTTTGTGCCAAGATATGCTTCAGAATTCAGCCTTTTGCAGAATTTGGAATTTTAAATTTAGAGTCTCAATTTCAGAATTTAGAAAGGTGGATATATGTGCATACCAACACCCTGGGTTCCATACCGCTCCAATACACTCCAATAGCACCCTGCCGTCCCTCACGTGAATCCTTGAGCACTTTCCTGGTTAACAGTATACATAGTCTAAGTGGAATAAATAAAGACTATAAATAGCTGAGTGTCAGTTTGGGGCAGGTGTTGTCACTATTGAAGTTCCCCAAAACTTACCAAAAAAAAAAAAAAAAAAAAAAAAACCAGAAAACCAAAAGCCTTCCTTTTCAGAACTGAGTCTGTATTCAACTTCTTTGAACCACTGTCTGTTTTGAAAGCAAAGGACCTTGGCATTGTCCAGTAACTCACTCTTTCCAGTAACTGGGCGGGCAGTTCCCATCTTGTTCACCGAGTCTGAAATAGCAGCTAGCATTGAAGTTCCAATCAAATCAATCAAAATACGGATCCTTCCGTACAGTGGGTGTTTTCATCTTTTAGCGATCTGGTTTCATACAGCAGGGTTTGTGAAGGTCTTAGGATTTGAGAGCAAGCAGATGATAGTTACTCAGAGAACAGGTTATCAGGACCTTGTACAGCTGCGGTGCGTCCTTGGAAGAAGCACGGTTTCCTGTTCACTCTGCAGATGGCTCTATCTACCCCTGCTATCTCTACCTGAGGAATGGCAGGGCAGTCTGTATCCGATATAATTTCTGCTTTCTCACCTTTCTTCAACCGCTCCCTCCCAACCCACTTCTCCTATCCCCATTTTCCATGTTTTAACACTTTCCTGCCTTTCTGTATTGAGTTAGCTGTAACTGGGTGAAGGGAAAAAAAATTAGGAATTTAGGCCTTTGGGATTTTTTTTTTTTTTTAATATCTATACACTTAGCTTTTTTTTTTTTTTCTTTCTTAAGCAGTTGAAATAAAAAGGCAGAGTCCTAATGAGATTATCATCAAATTGCTCAAATTATGTCTTCTCACCTTAATCTTTGGATTTGAACAGGTCGGATTTGAATACTAGGAGATGGGGATTTTACTACTGAAAGATTTGGAAAAGATTAAAATAATAATTAGGCTAATTGAATTTTAGGAAAGTGCATAATTTTGATATTTTGTTATCAGGAAATTTTTCTATTTGCTTATAACTGACAAAAGTTAGCTTGTATCCATTTGATCTTTCTTTTTTTTTTTTTTTTTAACTTTAAGAATCAAGTTTGTAACTTTTACCCTGTATCTCTTGAAAGGTCCTTGAGTTGGAATGTTAAATACAATCAAATTTATCCAAAGTCCAAAACTACCCAGAGAGAGAATATTTCAGTTATATTACAGTGGGTTTAACAAATCAAAAGTGGTGCTCTCGTTCTTCTTTTATTTCTTGGAAATCACGTCTTTATTTCTGGAGGTTGGCCAAAGCGATGGTGGAGGGAAAGGTGGAGACAATTAGGAATCTTGGTGATGGCACTATTCCTCACCTTACCCGGTAGGTGCTTGAGCCTTTCTGATGGATATTCTCTGGGGGAAGAAGGAAGGTGCTTCCCCCTGTTGCTGCTCCTGAATCCTGAGGCTGGGAGGCTGCGATCCCCACAGCTGTCCTCCAGGGCTGGGCAGGGAACACAGGGTGGGGACACAGTGGGGCCTTCCAGCCTGGTGTGCCCAGAGATGCTGTGACCCCTGTGAAGACCAAGCAGGCCAGGAGCAGGTCTGCAGGAAGGGGTCAGACTAGGGTGCAGGTGACTGAGGCCCTAACCCTAGGTACTGTCAATGGGGACATAGATGGCCCAGGGCAGAGATGTACAGAAATCGGCAGTTTAAAGAGAGATTGACTTATTTGTGCTCTGCCTAACTATAAAATCATTGAATGTGCATGTGACTGACTCTTGCCTCCCTCCATCTGTTTGGCTTCACTGATAAATCCTCGTTCTATCTCCATCAATATGAAACTTTATTGCATCTATCAGTTCCCATTGAGTTGACATGGACATGTTGGATGTGCCCTGGGCTAATTTACCTTTTTTTATTTAATTTAAATTTATAATAACTTCCTCTTTTATTCTTTCTATCCATGAGCTCGGCTCCCCAAAAGCAAGCTTCTCAATTTTTTGAACTATTTCTTTTAGAATTCTCCTGATTTCCTTAAACTCGGTGTATTTGTTATTTTTATCATTGTTATTTTTTTTTAATGTATCAAGTGCCAACAGTGTGCTGACTTCCTAGTCTGAGAATTGAGGAGTCGGTGGTCCTAGATCACCTGTTACCTTCTGCCCTCTTCCCATACCATCCCAGGGTAAGTATTGTATTATTTGAGGTTTAAAAGCTTTTGGGTGTTTGCTTTATTATGCCTCTAGTCGTGCAGCCTGCACACAGATAACGGCATCATCCACTCAGCACGCCAGGCCAGAAGCCACCGTCTTCCCACACCTGCGTTCCCTGCTGCAGCCATGAGGGGTAGCAGCTTCTGCACCTTCAACAACCAGGTGTATGTGGTGCTTAGGATATGGCCTGAGTGTGTCCCACAAAGCTTCCTGTGCTAGAGGCTTCCCCCAGTGGCAGTGTTGAGAGGTGGGGAAATCGTGAGCAGTAGGTGGTTAGGTATTTGGGGTCACTACCCTCAGAAGGGATTAATGTAGCTCTTATGGAACCCCCATTAGTTCCCCAGAGAGTGGGTGGTTGTAAAAAAGCAAGTCTGGCCCCTGAAGCTTTCCGACTTTCTGTCTTATCGTGTGATCCCTTCTTCTTCCATGGGTTCCCTCCATGATGCTATCCGCCATGTTGTGATGTAGCCATTAGGGCCCTTACCAGGAGCCAAACAGATGGAGCCACCTTATCTTGTATTTTCAGCCCCAGAGCATAAGCTAAGCTAGTTTCTTTTTTTTTTTTCATCAAATACCCAGATTCAAGTATTTTATCATAGCGACAATAAACAGACGGATACAGCATACAGTATAATTACATTTACTTTCTTATACCCGTTTTTGTTTTTTTCTGCAGCAAAACTTTGTTCTGTTTGGGGGTTTTCTTAGTTTGCACTGTTCCTATGATAATTTTCTTCTCAATTCTCTGAGAATAAAAGTTGATATCCCTCTTGACAGAG